CTTATCAGCAGCGGGAGGCAGCCAGGCACACCTTTACCCCCAGGTCTGTAAACCTTGTGCCAATTAGACCATCTAGGAGCCCACAGAGGGTCGAAGACGGTGCGGCTCGCTCAGTGCTACCCCCGGAGGCCAGGCAAGGCCTGCGGCAGCAGGTCCAAGGAGGTAACCTCAGTGGTACTTGAGCAAGAACTTTCTGCTCACTGGCGCCCTCCGACCGCAGCATGGGGTATGACAGGCAGCACTGGCCCTGGGGCCTAGAGCTTGTACCGTTATCTTTATGGTCATGTCTTGGCGATATAGTCACTGGGTCCCATGTCCCATCTCCCTTCTGATGGCATCCTCACACGTCCTGACGCAGGGGAGTCAGTCTTCGCCAATGCTGATCGTCGTCGTCACCGTCACCATCTGCATCGCTGTGATTATCATGAGGACCAGGTCCTGCCTCAACAGCTGCATCTCCACCTCACGCCCGGCCCTGACTCACGGGGCGGGCAGGCCCACAGCGGGGGCGGCGGGCCTCGCATCGGCAGGAGGCTGGGGTCCCGGAAGCATCCGTCTCCCCAGGACGTTCTAACGTGTGCCACGCCCCTTCTTGCAGACATGAACTTGACTTTCTCGAACAACTCGGGAGGCCAGGATGAATCTGTTGAAGTGTTGCCTTTTTGTGGTAAAATGCATTCAAATAGAAGCCTAAATGTTTTTTTTAATTACCGTTATTATTATTGTTGCTGTTCTACTTCTTTGGGGGAGAAGAACCCCAGACAGACGGCATTCCCGCCGGGCCGAGTTGGCGCGTGGGCTTTGCTGCAGCGAGGGCGGCACGTCGGGCATCTTGTGAGGCCACTGCACCCCTGAGTCACACTGCCATTGGCCCCTCACCCGGGGAGGCGCTCAGAGAGGGGGTGCCACCCCCAAGTCACCCCGCTGGCAGCCAGGACCCCGGGCCTGCACCTGGCGCCTTCCTGCAGGCGGGGGCTGTAGACCCCGGCTTCCACCTCAGTGAGACCCCACGCGCCCGCCCCGCCCACTTCATAAATACCTTCCCCCTGGTCAGTTCGCGTGGCTCCCAGGTGTGTGCGGGAAACATGGTCCCCATCACAGCACACGGTGCCTCTCCCCCACTCTGTCCTCGGAGGGACAGACAGATGGCAGGTTCCGTCAGTTCTCGGGAACAGAGCGGGGGAGCACAGAGGAGCTCCTTGCTGCCACGTCCTGAAGCCCCATCGGCCACTTGATGGATGGCTCACTCTCAGGCCAGGTGTGCGGTGAAGGGAACCGAGGGGTTAATTTTACGTGTCAACCTAGCTCGGCCGCCAAACGCTGATATTTGGTCAAATGCTAGTCTAGATGTTGCTGAGAAGGGTTTGTTTTTTTTTTTTTAAGACGTGAATAAGATTAAAATCCGAAGACTCTGAGTAAAGCAGATTACTCTCCATAACGTGGGTGGGCCTCACCCAATCAGCTGAAAGCCTTCCTGGGGGGAAAAAAACTGAGGTCCCTGAAGAGGAAAGAATTCTGCCTCCAGAATGCCTCCCATGGGTGTGCGCGTGCGTATTTACACAGACATATCTATGTCCACAGATACGTGTCCTATTTGCCTCTCTGGCAGCACCGTGCTGGAGACACTGCTGGTTTCCAAGTTCACGCGGAGAGCAGCCCCAGGTGTACACGCGTGTAAGCACACAGGCCGCGCTCACCTCCTCTTCCCTTGTTATCTTATTCTTGGCAAACTTTCCACCGTCCTGAGATGGGATGTGTTTTTCTCTGATTTGGAGTTTTTGCCCTGCTTCTGTTGGCAGTAGTGGGACTGTTTGGGGGAGGGGCGGAAGCTCCCTAACAGGCCAAGGAAAGTCCCGGAAACCGCCCCGGCCGCGAATCAGCGCCGCCGCAGGCCCAGGAAGTGCAGTTGCCCGGACACACTTGGTTCCTCTTGGGGGCCGGCCACAGACTTCCTAGAGGCTAAAGAGAAGTCACGGGCAACACGCCCGAGAAAACCCGCGCTCCCGCACGCGTCTGCTGGGATGCGCGCGCCCGGGGAGAGCGCCCACGCAGGCTGGAACCAGAGGCCTTGCCCGGGGGAGAAAGCACCACAGACCAGAACCTCAGTGCCGGCGAAGACGAGCAAGGGGCGCCAGGGCTTAACCAAAGCCAAGCAGCATTACTGAACATCTAGTACGTGCCAGGAGCCGGCAGAGAGGGCTCACGGAGCTCAGGTCTGGAAGAAGGAAGCCTGTCAGAGTCTGTGAGAGAGCGAGACCCTCAGCCCTTCCGCCCAAGATCAAGATCGTTGGTGAACCCGGCCCCTCCAGTCCTCACTGGATGTCGACTTTCCACAGAAGATGCAGCAAGGACCTCGGCAGGACCTGGCACATTCCACCTGCAGCTTTCAGGTCCTCGGACACGGCGTGAGCGACCACACTCACAGAACGCGGGCACGCGGCCTCCCGGGGCCGAGTAGGACCGCGGGGTCTGTCTTCACGCAACAGGAAGGAAGACCCCGATCAGTGAGAAACCACCAAAGCCAAGACTATCGACATAAGCATGAGGATCGAGACCCCCACGGTTCCCCGCTCAGCGGCGAGGCAAGAAAGCACCTCACACGCGGGGCAGAAACGGACAGGAACCTGGAAAAGCCTTCGCTGCTCCCCACGGCTGTCCCTTTGGCTCAATTCGGCAGAGTGTCATTCCTCCATCTCTCCAAAGGCCCACGTCCCCTGGCCCTAGAGCCCATTTTCTCACACTGCAATCCTGCCCGAGATGTTTCCGGTCCTGTCTACCGATCTAGAGAGTTTTGGAAGGAAGGAAAGAAAGGGAAGGAGAGAGAAGGGCGGGGAGAGAAGGACAGAGAAAGAGCGTCTGGAAAAAGCTTCCTTCTGAAAACTATTTTGCGTGTCTCACTTCAGAATGCCCATCTGTCTGTTGTCATTTTTGTTGTACACAGAGCTCTCAAACACCATAGTTAATCCTTCTTCCCTAGTGTTTAAAATGAATCAGGGTCAGGAAAGAGGGGAAGAGGTCAAACTGCGAGGGAGGAGGCCAGCAAGTTGGCTGCCCTAAAAAAAAAAAAAAAAAAAAGTCAAAGGTCCATAGCTTCATACAAGACAACTCGGAATTACGAGACATGGCTTCCAACAGATCAGAGGGCGTTTGCTGAGCCCGTTGGGCGCATTTCAAGCACTCAGGCCTCCAGCCGCTGCCAGGAGCCCAGAGACAAGCAGGCTCCCTCTCTCCTCTGCCCCAGGCCCGCGGCCCCTAATTCAGTCGGCTTTCCTTTCTTCTTCTATCTGCACAGCTTGGGACCCTGGCTAAGGCAAGATGCGGTCCTATGTTGACTTCCCCACATCCTTGATTCTGCGAAGATACTTGGGGCACGCGGCCAGGAGGGCAGGAATCAAAAAAGACAAGCATCAGGGTGACGGGGGCTGTGAGAAGAGGTGACCCCGATTGGTGTCTGAGAATAGGAGGCAATCCGTGTCTGGGACCCCCTCCCCACCGCACACCACTTCCGTCTTCCCCACCAGAGGGGAGCTGTCCGTACAGCGGCCCAATGGGACACAGCCTGCCAAGCAAAATCGGCCACCCGGATCCGCTATGTGACGCGTGGGCCCCGGGATAACATGCAAACGTGGAGCCTCTGGTTCAAACAGTGTTAAGAATTTCAAGACGGCATTAAACCGGGCGTGGGTCCTTCTGAGCCTGGGACCCTGTGCGAGTGTCGAGGTGTTTCAGGGAAGCCGGCCGCGTCTGCCATTCTGGCCTACTGGGGTCACTTTCCAGACCTACTGCGGATGTGCTCAGAGAGCCTGTCACCTGGTTTGAAAGCTGTTTGTCCCCGTAGGTGCACCCTCCTTGGTGCTTCATTCTGCACGGGCTCATGAAACAAGGTGGGCAAGTGAGCCCATCGGAGCTGTCACCGAGCATGCTCAGAGGCCTGGGGATGCAGGAGGCCACGGGGGACACGAATCGGGGTGGCTCCAAACACAGCCGCAAAGTTGCCTTTCCTGGCGAAAGCCGCCCCCACCCCCGCCCCGTTCACCACCAGCTCGACAGGAATCCCCAGTAGCACCAGCGGGGGTCCCAGGAGAACCGAAGGACACCTGGGGAACAGAACGTGGGGACAATCTGGTCCAAGTCCCAGATTTCAGAGCTCAGGGAAGACAAAGCCCAGAAGGGCAGGTGACCGGAGCAAGGCCAAGCCCTCTTACTGTCTGTAAGGTGACGTTTCTGCAGAAGGAGACCCCCAAATGGAGTAAGCGAATGGGCGACACTCAAATCCTCCCAAGGCAGAGTGCTGTCCGCCCATGGCCTTGGAAGGTGGACTCCAGACCCCAGGACTCCAGGTGTGCTGCCTCGGTCCTACAGCAAGAGTCCCTAGGGGCTGGAGGGGACACGGGGAGGCCGTCCGTGGCAGTTGGTGGCAGTGGGTGACAGAGGGTGACAGGGGCCAGCTTGTGGCAGTACCAGTCGTCACTCCACCCCCAGGAAGACAGGAGCCTGGTGCCCGCGGAATTTTACCCTGCCCGGGAAGTTTCCAGCAGCCCTGGCCAGGCCCACCCCTGAGCTCTCTGGAGAGCAGGCTGCTTTCAAGGAATTTGAAACTCCTTGGAGCTTGGCAGGGTCGGGAGGTGGGGGGGCCCACTTAGCCCCCGGGGCCAGGAGATAACTTTCCTCAATGGAAGAAAGACTTCTCAGGTGTCTAATCCCTCCGGCCGCCCGCTTCTCTCAGAGGGAGGGCTCCCCCTCCCAGCAGATCAGAAACTCTGAGATTGGGTTTCTCCCGGGCCAGGCCCTCCCAGGGGATGGGAGACGCACCCCTGACCTGCAGACGGGCCTGAGCTGAGCTGGCGGGAGCCCCCCACGAGCGCTGCAGGCCGTGCCCAGGGAGCCATGGGCTGACCTGGCAGAAGTGGGCTGAGGCGCTCCGGGGTGAGGCTGTGGGCCAGGCCAGGGAGCCCCCACCCCCCAGTCACCCCCCACCACCCAGGGCCAGGCTGACTCACTCGGGAGTGTTGATCCAGATGATGTCCAGGTGGCAATAGTAAACACACTCCTTGTCCTTGTAGGTGAAGCACGTGCAGCGCCTTGCTCGGTGGTGCACAGGGCCCCCCCGGGTCGCCGGCTCCCCAGACCGCCCTGGCTCCCCCTCCTGCCCCGGGCTTCTGGGACTCGGGCTCCGCACAGCTGTTGTGGCCACGGTGTCCTTGATGTCCCCCTCAGAGCTGGCTGCAGGGGGGCGGCCAGGCACGCCGCTCCGGCCAGCGCCCCCAGGCTGGGGGCGAGGCACCAGTCCTGCAGGAGGGAGATGGAGGGGCTCCTGAGCGTGTAGAACCCCCCTGGCCTCCCCCACACCCATCATTCCCAAGGACCTGGGGGAGAGGGACAACCAAACTTTCTGCACAGGGTACAAGTCAGCCGCACTTTCCGTAAAGTCTCCAAGCTCTGCCACATGTTCTGAAAAGTTTGCAAAGGCTATGTGCACAGTTTCTGAAAAGTTTACACGTTTCGTGCATGACTCCGTGAAAAGCTCGCAAGCTGTTTTCACTTTCTGCAAAGTCTGCAAGGTATCTGCACCCGTTGAAAACTGTGCAGTCACTCTGCACAGTGTCTGAATCGTTGGCAAACTTTTTGAAAAGTTCCCAGCTTCGTGAAAACTCCACCGAGTCCACGGGCCCGGCCGCATCTCCGGCTTGCGGGTGGGCCGCAACCTCCAGAGGCCCCCGGGGGTGGTCGGTGCCCGGATCAGCGCTCGCATCTCCCCAAGCCGCCCCCAGGCGCCTCCCGGGGTCCCAGCGCGTACCCTTCCGCGCGCCCCCCAGCCCGGGGTCCTTTTGTGTGCGCTCGCGCCGGCAGGGGCGCGCCGCCCCGCCCGCTTACCTGCGGCGGAGGTCACCGTGAGCCCGAAGAGGAGCCACAGCCCGGGCTCCATGAACCCCGATCGGGCGCGGGGCACCGGGCCGGGAGCACGGACGCCTGTGGCTGAGAAGGGGCGCCGGGCCCGGCGCGGCGGCCTCGCCCTCCAGCCGCGGGGTCCGAGGCCGGCGCTCGTCGCTGCGCCCCGCGCCCGGGCCGGGAGTTGCCTGCGCCGGTCACACGCGTCAGAGCGCGCTGCCCATCCCTGCGCCGCGCCGGCTGTGGGCTCGGGCTTTTCTGGCGCCCGCACCACCCCCTCGCCTCCCCGCCCCCCGGAGGGGCTGGGGCTGCCGCGCGGGGCCTTTGAACCCGGGGCGCGCCGGGGGTCGCCTCCCAGCGCAGGGGGGAAGCGGGCGGCGCGGCGGCCCGAGGCGCACCCAGCCGGCCGGGGGCGGAGGGGGCGGGGGGCGCGGCGGGGGCGGGGGGCGCGGCGGGGCCGGGACGGCGGCCGGGAGGCCGAGCGGCGCACACTCAAACACATGCACGCGTGTGCACACGCGCGCTCCCCCGCGCACCCCGCCGCCGCGCTGGCCTGGGACCTGCAGCTCCCACCTCGGAGCGCTGCGGGCGATTAACGGCTGCGCAGCGAGGCTGCTATCTCCGATCTCCGGGCCCACAGCAGGGAAGGCAGCGCTTCTCAGCGTTCACCGAATGACACCTTACCCTTGCACAGACCGGCCTGGCAAGGCCCCGGGTGTACTTTACACTCGTGACTCACGAGCACCGGCGGGCAGTGTCTCCCTGCCTCTCCCAGGAGCTCGGAGCCAGTGGGTGTGGGCGGTGGCAGGGGAGCAAAGTCAACCCAGAAGCAGGTTAGCGGTCTGGGCGTCAGGACTCGCTGGCAGCTTGTCCTGGGCCCGCACAGGGGAGGGCTCCTGGCTTCCCCTCCATTTCCTCCAAGGTTGTCCAAGTGCAACCTAGAGAGGGCCCTCCGGGCTCACCCGGGCAGCACAGAGGACAAGCCCGCTTCGCTTTGCTGTTAGCAATGCCACCTGCCCGAGAACCGTGTCTGGACACCGGGAAGCACTCGGGGAGAGATTCGTGGGCGGGGCCGAGTGGCCAAGCGGATGAATGAATGCTTCCCAGGGATTTGGCCCTGGACTGCCGACCTCTGAGGACCCCTGGACGCCCTTGGAGCGCCTCCCTTACCAGAGTTCCCCAGCCAGAGGGAGGGACGATACCCAGAGGCAGTGGGCCAGGTGACACTGGGCCCTTGGGCTGGACTGCGGCTGGCTTTTCTCGGGGAACCCCCGCATGGCCAGCTCTCAGGCCAGGCCACACGGTCAACGTGTCCCAGGTCCTCCGACATTCCTCCCAGAGGCTACTCCCCTAACCAGCCACGAGAGTGACAGGGTGCCACGTCCTCCACCTGGCTGTGTCCCTCGGGGACACCAGTCCAGCAAACACGGCCACCGTGCTGCAAGGAAGCCCGAATGAGCCCACATGCAGAGATCACGCACAGCAGCCTATGCAGAGAGAATCCGGGGCCTCACAGCCACGGCCAGTCATGTGAATGCAGAAGCCCAGAGGTGCCCAGAGCCCCAGCCTTCCAGACTTGGCACGGACGACTGGCTGGCCCACGCCCTGTGGCTGGGCTGAACGCTGACCCACGGGACCCACGGAACCCACGGAACCCACAAGCACCACAGATAGTCGGCTGTGTGCACCGCTCAGAGTTGGGGACTTTATTGCCACACCACAGTGAGGCAGAAAGTGCTCAAGGCCCCAGAACCGAGCTGATGCGGAAGTTTCTGAGGCCCACCCCCGCCCCCTCCATGCTGCCCAGTCCTCGAGTCCCTGTCAAGGCGAGGAAGACATCCTTGAGCGTCACTTGTCACCAAATAGGACAGGTGTTCTGTAAGGGGCCTCCGTGCTTTGAAAATGAGGAAAACCCAAGGCGAGGATTATCTTCTGTTGCTGCTGGGCTGGGACGTGGGTGGCGTCATCATTACCCTTTTCCTCGGAATTAAAATATCCGTCATGGACACAGTAAAACGCCTTGGACTGAGAGATGGCTGGAGAGAGGGACACAGGTACACAAACCAGCGAAAAAGAGAAAAGGGGTGAAAGGTGGTTTTCAGGCGTGCCTGGACCCAGGAGGGGTCAGAGCTTCTCAGACCGCTGGCTGGGTCCATTCTCTTCTGCCGCGTGGCCCAAAACCAACACAGCGGGGTGACGCCCCAGGCACCCCCACTGCGGGAGGTCGGCGTGGCTCTGGCCCTGCCCTTGGAGGCTTCTAGTCTAGCTGATGGCACAGAAGTCCAGGGACAGAGGACCACGGATACAGGGTACTGAGGCCAGCAGATGCCACGTCATCTGGGTGGTCGGCGGAGGCAGAATTTTAACTGGTCCTTAACCAGGTCAGCAGCCTGAGCCCCACGATTTGAGCGGGGGCCACCGTGACCGTCAGCCACACCCACTCTTCCCCAGGAGAGAGTTCTCCCCTTTCCTGGCCTTTCTCAGCCCTTCCGACCATCCCCGGGAGAAGGCCTCCATCGGGAATGTCTGCAACCACACAATCTTCCTATGGAGGGGAGAGAGGCCACAGGCTTAGAGCCTCGGGCAGGCCACAGAATCCACATAGGAGCTCTTTCTCACTCTTCTTTTTTTACACTCTGGTAAACTATGTCCAACTTAACTCTCGTAACCATTTGAAGTGCACAGTTCAGTGGTACTAAATGCATTCACGTTCTTGTGTGGCCCCGGGCACCGGCCCCTCTCCAAAGCTCTTTCATGGTGTAAAACTGAAACTCTGTACCTCTTAAACACCAACGCCCCATGTCCCCTCCCCCACAGCAGACAAGCCTTCTGTGTGGCTTCTTTCACTTAGCACGATGTCCCCAAGGCTCATTCGTGGTATAGCAGGGATCAGAAGGTCCCTCCCTTTGAAGGCTGAAGAGTCTTCCTTGCAGGTGTAGACCACACTCGGCTTATCACCTGTTGATGGACATTGGTTGCTTCCGTGTTTTTTAGCTGTTGTGAATAAGGCCGCTATGAACGTGACTGTGTGAACATCTCTTCCAGAGCTCGCTTTTGATCCCTTTGGGTTTATACCTGGAGGTGGAGGCCCTGGATGATATGGTAATTCTGACTTTAATGTTTTGAGGAACCCCCATACTGTTTTCCACAGCAGCGGCACCATTTTGCATTCCCACCAAAGTGCCCCTTTCTCCACATCCTTGCCAGCACTGGCCATTTTTTAATTTTTAATTTTTTTGCTATCGGCCATCCTAATGAGCATGAGGCAAGGGGGTATCTCACTGTAATTTCGATTTGCATTTTCCCACATGATTAATGATGTCGATCTAGCATGTCTTTGTGAGGTGTTGATCGGCCTTTTGGACGTCTTCTTCGGAGACCTGTCTACCCACGTTCTATGCCAATTCTTGAATCTGGTTGTTCCTGCTGTTGCACTTGGGGTTTGGTGATGTTTTCATGGCCCTTAATGTTACATTTATCTTGTATTTATGGCAAGTGACACTGGTTTTCCATGTGTGGTGGTGAAGAGAATCCCTTTCTAAATTTATTTAAGTAAAAAACAAAAAGAGTCACCTGCATTAAAACATGAAGCCATCATCGTAAAGGTGGCTTGGAGACTTGGCAAAATGACAAACCGGTTTGCCGATAACTGGGGTCTGGAAAGGCCTCATTAAACTAGGCAGGAAGAGGGGCAGGATGGAGGGGAGAGGGCAGCGGGGGAGGAGAGAGAGGGCGGGGAAGGAGGATGTGCCCTCGCGGTCTGACGGCAGTTGGGTGTGCGGAGGGAGGAGGGTTAGAGAAAATCGGGAGTCCCGTGTCTGTTGCGTTATTTGTCCACTTCATGATGCGTTGATGGATTCCTTGGCCATCACCGTGAAGGCCACTGTGGGAGATGTTGGCTATTTTTGCCCACCCATCCTTTGCCCATGAGCCCGGTGGGCCTGGGACTCCCCTGCGTGACTGGGGTCTGGCCAGTCTGCTTGGCAACAGTGATCAGTTCAGGGCCGGGCAAGGTTGGACAAGTCAGTCAATCTCAGCACTTTTGCTGGAACACTCGAGAAAGAAGTTCTCTATTCACTGGGATTGTGGAAAAGAAAGGAAACGGGCCTGAAGCTACCGGTAGCCACCTTGCCACCTTGAAGAAAGGCCCTGCCTGATGACAGACCCAACAGAGGAAAGGGGAGCCAAGAGCTGGAGAGACTGGGTCGGTGTCCGGTTTTGAGCCCCTGGATCCATCTGGGCCTGAAATCCATACTATCCCTACTCCTTTCATTTGTACTAGCTCATCATTTCTTTTTTGTTTAAGCTTATTTGGGATTCTGTGACTTTCAAAGGAAAGCGTTCTGGCTGGAACACTACCAGTCCAGCCAGGCTTCAGGCTAAACAGTGTGCGAAGGAAACAGACAACTCACATGTTTCGACGGTGGGCCGATGGTGAGGGTTTTAATCATCGTTTTGCCCTTGCGACAGCTCAAAAAACCTCATACTATCATTATCCCCACTTTCTAGACGAGAAAAGGTTCATGCTTATAGAGGCTCAAAATGGTTAAAGTGACCGGCCCACGGTCACACAGCTATTAAAGTGGCAAGGTCAGGATTCAGATTCAGTATTATCCGGTTCTGGGGACAGAGTTCATAACCATCGGGCAGCTGCCTCTCAAACTTCTACCCTGGGTCTATAATCATACTCATTTTCTCCTGCGTATCGTTGACACGTCATCACCTCTCCATCTGTTTGGCTTCTTTTTCCCATTGTCTCGGATGAAAGGTCACTCGAAGGACCGTGGTCCCTCTGCAGCGGACGCTGATAAGCGTCCCCTCTCCTCCTCGCTGGTCTGCCTTCACCATCTCTGCCATCAAGCACGCCCCTCAGAGGAGCGATGGATGGATCGGGACGCTTCTGGGACCCCGCCAAGTGCATGGCAGGGTCGTTCTGTTCGCCTTCCATCCACTTCCAAGCGGGCAGATAATGCAGCTGGGTCTTTGAGACTGTACTTCTCACTTAAACTCGGATTCAAAATCCAGCCGTTAAGAATA